ATTCCTGCAGCTAAAATACTCTGATAAAAATAATTTTAAAAATAAAATAATTGTAAGAAATAAAATTAGTAACACATGAGAAAAATAATGGCATCTTTCTGGAGAAAGGGGATACAGGTGTTTGAAAAACTGTGTTTGCTAAATTGCATGAGTAGCACAACACCATCAGCTTCCCACATTTAATTTCTGAGAAGCCCAGAGCACTGGTTACCATATGAAGAGACTGAATGTCCTATGAACTAAACATGACAGGCTTGAATGCTCTACAAATCAGACAGGCCAGCTGTTTATAACTTGTTTATTTTGGGGTTTCCTTCATGATATTCCCTTTCTTGAATGTAATAAAGGCCAATGACTGGAAATGACTGATGAAAGGTCAGGTTAGTTAAAGACGTTAGGGTATTTCCAGGCCTCAAAAATAATATATACTGCAAACATACTGTTTGCACAGTATACGCAGTTTGGAAATTAGGATTCCCTTTTTTATTGCTCTAAATTTATACTCTTTCACTTCTAAACCACATCTACATCTATTCAATTGCTGTGTAGTGAGTAAGCCAAATGAAACTTCTGAGGATAACTAGTTGTTATTGTTAATTAAAGTAAATAGTCAATCCTTTTAAATTGATCAGGTTTTAGGGTGATTCATTCAATAGATATAATGCTTTGAATTGACCACATCAGGACCTTGTATTATTTCACAGAGTTACTCCTTTTCACTACCATACTTACCACAAGCTGAATCTGAAAACTGTGAAATTTGTAAAATTTAGATCTACATTTTGAATTTCACATTGAGAACAGCATGCATCTGGCCAAGAAAATGTGTGTATCTCATTTAAGTGAGTGGATAAAGTTAGGAACAAAAAATCCACTGACTGATTCTCTTCCCACAGGCACAGATGTGAATCAAGAATAACCAGAATAATTATCTAGGCTATAAATGAGATGAGAAGAAGCTAGTTCCTCCATCAAGTACAGTTTGCCGATAGCTGACATCATTATAATAGGATTGGAGCCTATCCCTCGAGGACAACACTTGCTAGACAATGAGCCTGTTAAGCTAGCCTTAACAGTACACAGAGGAAAAAGCTCAGTGAAAGCATCAATCCATTCTTGACTATCACAGCTGCAACTATAGGAGTTGATCTTTTCAGCCTTTAATCCCCGCTCAAGTTTACCTCCCAAGCAACCACATTTGTTATTGGACCAGTCACTTACATGTAAGTTTCCCCATACCTGAAACTTAATATTTTTCTTTTTTATTATATTTCTGCCAGCTCACTGACCACAATTTGCTGGGCTGAAAGAAGTCAACTGCTTTGTTTCAGGCAGTTATTTGGGTATTTCCCTTTCTTCACTTGCTGCACTTGGGCACTTCAGCATTTGGAGGTGATTTCCAGGAAGATGTCAGAAGCTCATTTAACTCCACCAATGCCCTCAACAATTTATCACCTCCTTTTGCTCCTGGTCCCCAGAACAGGAAGAGTAAATCAGGCAGCTGAGCCCTGCAATGCACAACACTATCCATTTTTTAGTTGTAGACTGTGCTATTCTCTCCTGCTGTTTTTGCTCTTTGCCCCCTGTTCTGTTTTCTGTTTATTTTCCACCTTCCTTTTCTGGTGCAGAATCCTCTGATTTAATTCTTCAGGTCAGGAGAGACAAAACGAAGTGAGAAACTTGAGTAGCATGCAATTTTTCACATAGAAGAGCACACAAATCCCAGATTCTCTGCAACAGCTAATACTTTCAGTCAGAAGGAAGACAATTTGAAAGTAACCTTACAAATTGTTCTGAAAACTTACCAGTTCCAGTACTAAATGCACTTGGCTACAACCCGCCAAAGGACTGAAAATAAAAATTTTAAAGCAATAATTCAACGATGAAAATCCATGCACCCTCCTAAAAAGTAATACAAATCACTACTCTGAGCTAACGTAATAGAACAAGCAGATAAGCTATTTTCTGCAGTTTGTCCTAAATGTGCCATGTGTGTTTCTGAACAGCTGTCCTAGCCAGCATTGTGGCAAGCATACATAACACTTACTAAGAAGTCCAGAAATAACATGCCACACTTTGTAAAAGACAACAGGAGGCATTCTGGCACCCTTATCAGGATGAGAAGTAAATAATGGATGAGAGCTGCTGAGCCAAGAGTAACTATACCAAAAGACATACTAGACTCATCTCCTCCATTCCTCAAATGAATTCTCCATTGTTACATTCCATTAATGTCTTCACTCAGTGCTCTTAATCATCTTCAAACAAAACCCTCATCCAAAAGTGGAATACACAGATGATCCCTACAAGTCTTACACACACACACTGTAAGAATCAGTAAGGCAAGAGCCCAAAATCTTTCAGTCCAAAAGTCTGTTACCATCATCAGCAGGCTAAACTAAATTTGTATTAGTTAGCAGTCTTAAAGCATTATGAGTCAAAACAGAATTTAGCCAGCTAGTGGGAATGAGTCCATACTCCTTCCCTTCATGGGAAATTACCTCTCCTGTGTACACTGGCAAGACTATTTTCCTGAGCTTCATTTTTTTGCCACATAGGTTAGATTAAATTATCAGCTACCTTTTTAGGCTCTTTCAGACTTCATTTGTATCCCTTTTGTAAGGTGCTACAGACAATGGACAGAAATTCCTTGCAGCAACATGATGCAAACACTACCATCAAGATCATGGTATTCTGGGTTAGGAAAAACTGAATCTTTACCTCATCCTTTCAAGGGCTTAAGACGAGTTTGTGTGGAAGATGTAGGAATTCTGAGTGATTATTATTATGTATGTAGGAGTATATGCTACCTCACATCTACATGAAGGTCTTGATGTTTCAACATACAAAAGACAATAATGAAACACCTAAGGCAAGGACACTGGTTAATAATGCAGTGTAACGATGGTTGAGAAACCAAAAGCAGGTAATGAAATAGTTTTTAACATGGTAGTAAATCAATGACTGAGATGTACAGAAACTAGTGAAATGCACCAGTATTCCCCAAGGCCTTGTTATAAACAGCTGCTATTCAACATTGTCTGAATTATAAAGTTCTAAAAATATTAGGAACATGTACAAAAAATGCATATTTTTTTACCCTCCAATACCTTCTGCCTCAATGGTCTCACCTGTATTTTCTCACATTTCTCAACCTGGCATAAACATATACCTGAAACACACTAGTGTCTTAATTTTCATGCATGCAGCATTGAAAGAACATGCACATAGTATATATCTGTGTGGGTAAAAACAGAGCAAGTAGCAAAGTTTCATCTCCCCTTATAATATCACTGGTCTTGATTCTATTATTTCAAAAGCTCTGACTGCCCTCTCTGTCAGTGTAGGATAAGTCTAATCTGTGATTATTTTTTTTTTCAAGTCCTGGCACATAGGTTATGTATGGTGTGCATTGCATGCATGAAAATATGCTAGGTTTGTAACATGAGGGGTGCCATATTGTACTTGCAGTGGAATTTTTGCCTAAGCCTTGTAGAGCTTCTCCGTGACAAATGCCACGATAACTTTGGAAGTAGTTATTTGTATTTATTCCACTCCTTTGCCTTCTATGTCGGTTTTATGGCTTATGGCTCCCATCGGTATTTGCACAATGCTTGTTTTGCAAGTACTAAGAAAAATGTAAGGAACAAAAATTCTGGGCCTGTGGAAACAAATCTTTACACATGACAAGACATGTAAAAGCTCTTAGAGAGATTACTAATATATTGTCAGGAAATATGTTAACAGGAAAAGGACTTCTCTCTCCTAACTCTGCAAATACTGCACAAAAGCAGCAGGAGTTCTGTGAACGTGTGGCACATGTATGACATGCAAGGATAACAAATCCAAAGTTTCCTGTATGGCCTTCACCTGTTCATGAAGTAGGCAGTTCCAAAGGTTTAGTCTGAAAAGACAGAGCTATAAGGTACCAGAAACAAATGCCAAGTGGATGCAGTTTTATAACCAACATAGAACCTAGATATACTCATAAAAGAATAAGTTAAGCATTTGTTTATTTCATGAAAAGCCCTTAAATAGAATGCTAAGCAAGTTAACAAAAATCAGAAAATAAAAGCAAGTTAAAAGTTGTGCTTATTTCCATTGCCAAGGATTCACTATCCACTTTCACTGCTACTACAAGCATGCTCCACTGCTGAGATTCATGGAAGCCACTCAAGGGGAACTAGGGATAACTCCCACGCAATCTTTCTCACTTTCTTCACTGTTAGAAGACACATCAGGGTGCCATCAAAACACGTTCCTACTTCGGTGCATAGAGAAATAGACACACCCTCCCTCAATCTCACAGATAGGCCACATTCAGTTCTCCTTTACTCAAACAAATTCTAAGAGACTAGGAATAACTGAATGGGTCATTAGTTATTAGTATTATTAGAAGTACCCACTCCCCAACAAACAGCCAGAGTATTAATATTCTGTGCCAAAGGCATCTACACTTCCACAGGAGGAAGATAAGGCACATACACAAGAACTCTATAGCTCGTATACTGCCCTATAAAGAATATGGTCACCTTCTGTCAGGGGCTCAAGATCTGATGTTCACAACCCATGGGGATCTGGAGATTTGATTCAAGCCCCATGTCTTACTGCTCTCCAGATGAAAAGATGAGAAAACAGTTTTGTCACTAAAAAGATTTCTCTCTTTGAACATTGCCTCTATTTAGGTCACTTGAGAGGACAATCATCATTGCTGTTTTCTGATTTATGTGAAGCTCTGTATTACACCAACTGTGAAATAAATTCTGGGCAATCAATAAGTAATTAAAACACAACTAGTGGCTGGGACATAACTGAAAGTACAAAGTGCAGCTACAATCTAATTACTACAATTTGATCCAAAAGAAGTATCCCTCTGGGCAGCAAAGTTTATTAGATGGAGATACAGGCTTGTTGGCATGGCTGCCAACAAATACGGACACATGCTGAGCATACTCACCCTTCCCAAAAGCTGAACACCGCCTAATATGCCCTCTGGATAGAGGGACAAAACTGGCTCTGCTAATTCTCTCTACATCCCTCCTGTTCAGCTGCACGTGGGCTCTCACTGAGGAGGGCTTTGTATTACCTCAGATGTCACGCAGTGAGCAACAGCAAAATGACAAGGTCCATTTATTCACATCCAACCTACAGAGTCAAATATTTAGACCTCCTTTCACAAAGCTACATGACACAATATGAAGATGTGTTATATTCTCATACACCTAATTTGTTTGAAAATTTAGATCTGCTATAAGCAGGTGCTCAGGCCTTAACAGGCTCTTGAAGCCAGAGTCAGATGCATGATCAGGGCAGAGATCAAAATTCACACAATCTGTTTGAGCAGGCAGATCCGTTTACCTCACTGTAAAGAAAAAGGAGTATCTCAGATTACCTGAGACTGCAGCTGACTACTTCTAGGGGAGAATCTCGTGCGAGAGAGTTTGGGGTTTTCCCTCTTGCTGAGGCAAGAGAGAGTGCTCAAGCGTTCTTTCCAACCCCTAACTAGCAGTCTACCACATGCACTTGATGTATCATGAATCTGCCAGAAGCCATTAATTGTTACTGTTAACTATACATCCAATTTTGTTTTCAGAGCAATTTTTCACTATATTTAACTTGCCTGTCCCTAAGAAAATTATAATGCTTTAGAGGATTGCACAAAAGTTACAGCATTAACTTGATTAAACACCTGGTAGATGACTGTGCCCACTGTGAAACTGAATATTAAGTGCAAATAAATTATGTTACTCATCTACCCCTCTGCAGAATGCTGTACATTTGTTGTACGTTTTGAAACTTTAAATAGATCTGTCACAATCAAGGAAAGATTAATACTTTTTTGGATGCAAAGCATTATTTCCATTTATTTGAAAAGGAGCTATGCACATATAAAAGGGAACTTTGAGCTTAGTATTGAAACAGAGGACAATTATTTCTTCCAGCTTGATCTTTGCATAGGTTATTACAGGATATGGAAGCTAATTAGCCTTGGGCAAATTTGTGTCTCTTTCCTAGATTCAGATTATAGGCATAATGTTTCTGAAGCATGCATTGTTGCCTTGGTGAATCATACAAATGATAGGAAAAAATCCCTTTTGATTCTTATGTAACAAAAATACAAATTTAAAAAGTCTCCCTTCATGAAAGACTTACTGTCAGAAAACTGCAAAATGCCAGTAAGACAAATCACAGTACTGCCATCACCTATATCAGAAGGGACTCATTTTGAGGCACTCTGACCTTCTCGATGTGGACAGTTTACTGTCTCATATATTTTCTGTCTCTCTGCTGTAGAACAACAGACTTAAATGAGATCTTAATCAGTGGAACTG